TTCTAGTAACCTAAATCAGACAGTTCTTACCTGGTCCGAGTAAACCTAAGGCTGACAGTTCTTGTATACTTTTTGAAATCAGCAATGGTAGTGGTAGTAACAATGGAACAGGAAGGCATTCTTTATGTTGACATAGATGTGCTATTAATTTTGGAACTGATGTAAAGCATTTATCACACTCTAGTAATTTCACGCCTGAAATAGTGATCAATATTTATTAATAGCAAAATTTCCAAACATGTGGCATTAAATATAGTTATACTACACACGGCTTGTCCTGCATATACTGTAAAACCATTTATTTTTTTCACTGGCATGTTTTTGTTGATTCAATTTGGCGGATTCTACTTACTAATGAAAATAGCAAAATTATTTATTTACAGTATAAGGGCATAAGGTGGGGATATCATAGCTTAAGATGTAGAGATGGACTACAAAGAATATGAAAGATCACTGCATAGGGTGGAAAAGCTCATTTGTGCATACAGATTAACAATATATACAAGTTGGATAGTAATCACCTAATTAGAATGTGGAAAAAAATATGAAATTTACTCACGATTCTTTAAAGAAGCAATTTAAATTCATACACAAGCAGGTGTAAAGTAGAGCATTCAATTATGCACAGCAACACAGAAACAAAAGTGTTGAAGTTATCCATGCTGTTAATTTAAGTTGAATGATGTGACTCTAATATTCACAATATCAACGTTATTGTTAATTTATTTATCATGAAAATTTCCAAATCAACCTGATAAGATGAGTTTACTTGCTAGAAATCATGACAGTACTTCCCTATTTTGCTGAATGTTTTAGGATTAATTAATACCACCACGGTCAGTAAACAGTTCTAATAGATATTTTGTTATTAAATTTATTGAAAATGTTAAACACTGATGTGAAATGTGAAAATTTCCTGCAATAAAAATCCGGGAAGCGAAGCACACCTTGGGCAAGCAGGAAGCAAATGCTGGGAAAGCAAGAGCCATCTCCTGGGAAAGTGGGAACACAAGAACCGTGGAGTTGGAGAATGTAAAATTATTTCAATTGTGTGCAGAGCAATTTATTTTCTGAGCATTCTGAGCATGATATTTAGTGCCAACCTATTTGCCTATTCAATATGCTACTATGGGTTGCAATATGATGATGCAATTACAGTATTGTAACACATACTAGTGTGTGCGAATGGTAAACGAATAGAAATATAGTAATGTAATGAGTTTAGTTTCTCACTGATTTCCAGCTCCCTGCTATATATCCCAGATATTCAATGTCAATGTTCTTAAAGCACATTTTATAATGACGTAAATATAGAATGGTCAGTTGACCATCACTTTGTGATAACTACACAGTGAATCAGGTTTTGTCAGTTGACCATCACTTTGTGATAACTAAGCAGTGAATCAGGTTTTGTCAGTTGACCAGCACTTTGTGATAACTACACAGTGAATCGGGATTTGTCAGGTGACCATCACTTTGTGATAACTACACAGTGAATCGGGTTTTGTCAGTTGACCATCACTTTGTGATAACTGCACAGTGAATCGGGTTTTGTCAGTTGACCATCACTTTGTGATAACTACACAGTGAATCGGGTTTTGTCAGTTGACCATCACTTTGTGATAACTACACAGTGAATCGGGTTTTGTCAGTTGACCAGCACATTGTGATAACTACACAGTGAATCGGGTTTTGTCAGTTGACATTGTGATACCTCTTTTATCTTGATGATAACCACTTACCTGCAGTTGTATTTTTAATTGTAAAAAGTTGCACTGTCATCTGTGATTCTGTCTGTACTCTCACTGCTAATGACATACTGTCAGCTTCAATACAATGGTGTACAATAAAACTCTGAATACATAAACAATAAGAAATTAGTTACAATCACATCATCCAAACATTATACAATTAGAACGTAGCTTTTGGTGTATAAAATAAAGATGGAAACTAGCTAGGAAACTGCTCTATGGCCATGATGCATCCATTCAATCCCTCATTTTGACAGTCAGAATTTATGGAGTATTTTAATTTTTATATTTATGAATATATGAAGAATACATTGTACATTAGTGTACTGGTTGGGCATAATTTAAGGGCATCTAAAATTAGATGAGGAGTGATATTAACAGCCATGAGAGTCTATAAAATGTCAACCACTGGTTTATTGAAATCATATTGTTAATACAAACTGACCGCGACAATATTTCTATTCAAGGCAGACAATGATGTACATGTATATACAATGTTAGCAAATAGGCATTCAATTCAATTTATTATACCAGTAGTGAGTACATACTAAATGACAGGAAGGCCAATCATACATATTGGTGCAATCTTGTGGATTGCAGAACCATGCTTTAAACTAAATCAATAAAATCTGAATGAACAAATGTACCTACCCCTTCCTGTTGTCCTTGCAACATGTGAAACGCAGCCAATTTACTGGTAACTGGTTGGTACCATACAGGATGCGTTAAGACCAGTCTATCAATTAAAGCTATTTCACGTGGTGTACTTGGAAGTTGATCAAACATTATAGCCTTTGTAAGAGTACTGTTGAATCCAACTTCAATCTCCTATGAAATAAATAAATATTATATTACTGCATCATATCACCAGGAAAATAAAACTGAACTCAAGAGTAGATTGTCACAGTGTCTTTATTGTAAGACTGCTATTAAAGTGGCAACATGGATGAGAACGTATAATTTGTTGATATTATTGTTTGATATTGTATATTGATGAATACACTGGACTAAGATTTAACATGTTGTTTTTACAACACACAAATACATTTGTAGTTCAATTAGTGAAAATAAAGCTTATGTGTATCAATCATTATTGCACATACCAAAACATACCGCATCAAAGAACATTTTTGAAAGCTGCATATAGCATCAACTAAAGTATTAAATGTATGGTTTTTGAATTAATTGCATGGAATAAAATGGTTCTCAATAATCAATGTACAGAATGCAGAACAGTTTATATTTCTGCAAGTAAATGAGTAGACTACAAACAAAAGTTTACAATGGTCTAACCATACGGTCAACCACCTATACACATATAATTCAAAAGTTAAATGGCTCGAAATTACTTCAAGGATTATAAAGGCCAAAAAGATCTATTTTTTGTTTTGTTTTTTGATCTACACATGAGTGAACAAGATATTACGCCACCAATGGAAGACACATTCTCCTCTCTTTTTGTTTCTTTGTTTTGAATGAAAAAAAAAAAATTCCAAGCCCAGCCTTTGGAACTGATGCCTGCGCCACCCAGAAACCAATAAATATTTTTGTTGGTGCAACAGTGCTTTTAATGACCCTAGTTGACCTTGCGGAAATAGAAATCATAAATTAAGCTTGATTTTATTGACATGAGTTGAACTCACAGATTAGAATCAAAAACAAGGACACTGACGTGACCTAAGTTGACCTTAGTAAAAATAGTAATTAGATCAATTCATCCATACACTAAATAGAAATACTTACTGATAAAAGAGAGATGTTACTACTACTGACATCGCTTTCATTTCCACTGTTATCAGACTGACTTCCAATAACAGTTTCATCTTCACCAGCACAGCTGATATAATCTAAAAACACATCATCGCTGCAAACAATAACATAAATCAGTACTGATAAGAGCAATGAGGTCTCTGTATGAACCAGGAAGCTCGTTTGAGTTCAGCAGTGTATATTTAGTAGATAAGCGATAAGAAAATTAACAACCATTATCTAAAGGAAGTTTATATTTACATACGTAATAGTAATGTAAACACCATTGTAGATATTATTATATTTATTTTCAATGTCATACCAATTGTAATCAAAAGATTTTGAAATTCTAATGTTGAGATAGGAATACCTTATGTACATACAACTTGTGTACTAATGTTGTAATATGTGCTCACTTGTTCAATAATGCTTAAAGAAGTTTTGCGCACACAAGGGTAAAAACCATGGTTCATGAAACTGCCTTTATAAATAGTTACTCAACTCATAATTCAAATCCCCTGTCATGATTTCAGGCTTACATTGTGTAGGGTTATATGTGAATCAAGCCTATTTTCGTTGAATGAGTCATGATATCAATGTATATTTACTGAATGGTTTGAGTGAAACACAAGAGAATACCCAACTACAGTGGCAGTCACACATCATTAATGTCAACAACATTATTTTACAAACATATATTCTATACCAAGTTTATAAAATTGCATTATTTTACAAACTGTATGATAATTACTCTTATACAAATGTATAAGTAACACTGCCCATGTAACCTGAAAAGTTAATTTTCCAGTTTACAAAGTAAAAAACAAATTATCAAGTTTACAAAGTAAAAATAAACAATTAATAATTGTTTGACCATATCTATTTCACTGTATCCATTTCACAACTTCCAGGACATGTACAAGACACATGTAAAGTGTTTTGGTGAGTCATGACAAGTATATTTTCGTATATGTTGCCACCAATCAAGTACCATGAAACTAAGGTTTAGAAAATTGTCTTTTTCAAAATTTGAATAATTTTAATTCTCAAACCTTATTGAGGAAAGCGCTCGTTTTCGTCCGGAAAAATTACATTTCTGGGTGGCATTTTTAACTGTTGATGAATGCTTTGGGTCTGGATACACTTCACATAAATCACTTAACATTATATCCAAGTCAGCTGCTATATTGCCTAAAATCTGAAATATTGGATAAATAAGAAATATAATTTATTCGGTGTATCATAATTTCATGAATTACTTGAGAAGTTATTGTTTTTAACTAGAACAAACAAGTATACAAAGAAATATATTCAAACAATAGTGGCATGCAATGTTTCAAAGTAATTAGTATAGGTGTTACATTGCTATTTTATTACATTATTACTACGTTCACGTTACGGGATCTCGGCACGTGCCGAAATTTTTAATCAGTTGTGTTTGCAGAGGGATTACAGCAGTTGTGTTCACGTTATTCAGGACCCACTTAGGACCGACTGGGCTCGTGCCGAAATCACGCTCTCACTCGTCGATCTGTTGGCCCAAACGATACGCATATGATGATAATAATAATTGTTATAGTGAAATTATATCCATTTGTTGCAATGGTGTTTATTACGAGCCATCGTGCACATGAACGGCAAAGAAGATTCGAAACACAATTATTTTTTTCACATCAATGTAAAAGGTGCAAGAAAATAGAGGTTGTAGCAGCACATAAATATGCGTCGCTAATGATGGTTTGCATTCATTACTACAGCATCCGACCATCTACTAGTATATCCGAATTTCCTGTCATCGTCATTTCATGCTAGTATCAATCAACTTATGTTTTTCTTAAATTTACCAACGAGGGCGTGATTTCGGCTCGTGCCGAGCGTTCAGGCAGCAAATCTCGGCAGGTGCCGAGTTTCGGTCCCAAGCATCCATCGGGACCGAGATCGAGTTCTTTTCGGCACGTGCCGACTCGGTCCCGACCGTTCATACACAATTTTCGGCACATGCCGACTCGGTCCCGAGTCTCAGCACGTGCCGAGATCTCTAACGTGAACGCCACTTATGTCCAGAGAGAGTGGTGTTTATGGTAATGGTCAAGAGTCTGCACACAATAAATGTATGTACAAGGAAATACAATAAATAAAATGATGAAATCACTGATGCATGTATACAAACAGACTATACCTAAACAAGGGACTGTGATTGAATGGAACAGTTTGTAATGATAAACTGATATCAATATTGCTACATTGTTAGCAAAACAGTGAAGTTTATTGCAATACTGTTTGGTTTGCTTTTCTCATGCAAAGTAAATTATATACAGGTACATTATATAACTTATGTACAAATGGCATCACATCTGTAATCTTGTGGCTGGACAGAAATTCTACCAACTTATGTCTACATGCCTCATGAGTTAGCAACACCCCAAGTTCAGATTTAAATTATTGATATCATTAATCGAGGGAATAAAGAAAAACAATACTATAGGTTATTATAAAATGGGGTCATTGTCAATGACATAGTCCCTGTTTATTTGGCAGAATTAATATTTGAGGACATACATACCGTACATGTATGTATTATTATATTTTGTCTGTAACAACCGTGAACAAAGGCATGTCAAAGCATAAAACAAATATAGTCACCAGGTGGACATTACAAATCACAAAACAAAACGTGTATTGTTCATACAAACGTTGAATAAAAAGAATAAATTTTGTGATTCAATTTTATTTATATCCCAAAACTGAGAAACAGGTAGCAGGTGAGAGAAAATGGTCACCAGTTAGCGATTCTGAACAAATAAAATCGTAAAAGAAAACAACATTCATATGCAGGGTTTGTAATTTGCGGTCATTATGCCCTAGATAAAAGCTTGACTGATACTCAGAAATAGTCAGAAATTTCCATCAGTCTAAGGCATTTTAGACATTTTGGCCCTCAAATTGAGTGCCCTCAAAATCCTGAAGTTGTTAATACCAAGTTTGAAAGAAATCAGGCTAGAAAAAAGTTCAAATGTTGCTTTTGGGGACAAAAGTGACCACCAGTCAGTCAAGGTCAACAATATGAAATTTTTTTAATTTAAATAGAATGTTTTGTTAAACCATTGGTTAGACTAAATTTAGAAACATTCCTTTACACTCTATAGTAGGAATGTCTTAAAAGCAATTAGGTTTGTGTAATATGAGATTGCCACTCAATGTATAATGTACATAGTGAAAACTTGAAACCTGCAGACATTGCATAAATTATAAATTAAATATAATCAAACTATGAGATTAATATTAACTCTTAAATTACTTTGAACATAAATTTTGTTAAATGCACAATTTGAATATTTACAATCACTTGTAAGAGAGTCAATTATAATAATTTTTACGAAACATGTGGTACTGGTTTGAACACACATATTAAATGACTTTGTACTAAATTAGAAAGAACGCTGAAATAAAAGTAAATAAAAATTTTGACAAATACTATACCTATAAATGTAAAAAGTGAGTGTAAATCTCAATATTGTGAAGTACATATAACAGGTCTCCTTTTTTTTTGCAGTGTTCTCCCCAGAAAAAATGCATACAGTATCAGCTAATTTGCATAACAATATAATTTGTTAATGCCATTATTGTATTCATTATTATGCTAAATTGGTTCTATTTTTTTTACCCAAAATTTAACAGCTTAGAACCCCTACTCAATAATGCCCTGGGGAGAACTCTGAAAAAGTCAGACATATTTTATGTACTATTATGATGAAACCAATGAAACTCTAAATTATATTAAAAGTTTCAAAATACTTGTATGAATATTCAGATCATTGCATTTATATTTAGGAACATTGGCATTCAAGAAGAATAGAATTACACCATGTGATATATCATATGTACTGATGTAGTACATTAATTTGGTTATGCTATAAATGTAGAAGAATTGAAACAGTGATTTAGAGTCAAATGTCAACATTTTCTCACAAACTATGTGTATTTAAATTACAGCATACTGTGAAACAATGCGATTACTTGTGTTTAGTCAGTTAAGATACCCTGAGCGGAAAATAAATTTGAAATATTATATACCAAAAAAGTCATAGATTAAAATGTAAAAATAGTACAACTAAATCTATAATATCATATTTGCTATATTATCAGCACATATGCGCTTATATAAATGACAGCGGTTGATCTATGGTCCAAATAAAGTTTTTATGACTTACCTCAATATAACTAGATCTTTTACGAGTTTTTCCCAGACCATCAACAGTTAACATTCTCCCCTTAGAACTGGCAGTGTCCATAATTATATACAATGAAACCCAAGTACTGCAGTTTAAATATATCTGCAATTCACAAAGTGATATATGGTAGTTGAGTCTTATGTGTTCACTTAGTGTCATACGACTGTAAAAACTGATTTTTTTAGAATCAATAATAATTTTTTACATTTAGTCACAGATGATTTAGTTAACAAAAATAAAACATAGTTGAACTCTGGTGACCTTGCCCTTTGTTATATAATATAATTCCCTTTATCATAGTTTGTTTCAATATAAATATGCATTGTCATAATTAATTTTGAATACAAACAAGTTTTGGGGTTAAACCAACAGTGGGGAATCAGTCTACCGAATGTCCTTAAAAGATGTAAATATCTTACAAAAATATTGGTGGCTTATTTGTTTAATTATTTTAAGGAACATAATTTCCAGCTTTATTGAAAGTAATTGAGATATTTTAGAATAAAAACAAATGTCTCATTGCAAAAAAAAAGTGCTGCATTTAGATGTGAATAGATTCATAAAACATGCATGCAAGATAACAGAAAAATTTAGCTGGCTTTAGTCCAAGTATTTTGTACAGGTGTCTGTCAAAAATGAATGATTCACTGAGACAAATATGAACTGCCTCATTGTGTGACTACTGTATTATATGAAAAGTAAAAAAAAAAAACCTTTATGGATAGCTATCATGTTGCAAGCTCTGCTTTGTATGCAAATCAACTTAAATAGTTAGTTGGTGTCCAGTGGAGGGAGAAGTCAACAGTACTGTTGCCTCCTGAGAAACTACATCTTCAAACACTGCAATCTCTGAAGTGCGTTTTTAAACTAGTATTATAAAAACTCTATCATTCTGTTCTAATAGCTGAAACATATTCCTGTGAGTTTTCATTTGTCGAATGAACTGTTTGTCAAATACAGAATACATATATTTTAGAATAATTTTCTTTTTAAAATGTGGATGAAATGTTTTGCTTTTAATGTATTTTTTATGTATTGTTTTTGATTTGATAACTTTGAACAGCACAGATCTAGAAGCAGTACCTACACACGAATTGGTGACGTCATAAAATACATGACCTTCAATGGGGGTCGTTTCCTCGGTATATACGAATTGGCATATACAAATTACAATAAAGATACTTAAGACATTACACATAAGGTAAAACAAATCACGTGACAATACAATGATAATAACGGTAATAAATCCTAGCTTAACAGTTGAACAGTTGAACAGAACGCTCATATAGTCAGTCGGGTGACGCCGAGGGTCACGAACTGTGTTGCAAAATGGCCGTGTGGTTGAAACTGGGTCATGGCGTGACGGGTGAGGAAGACATCATTAAACACTCAAAATCACAATAAAACGGGGAAGTGGTTGCATATTACGGCGTAGCCAACATGGGAAATAAAAAAACGCCCAATACAAACGACATGGGTTCGAATCACACTAGATACACACTCACCAGAACCGAAGCAATCAGAAACCAGCAATCGTTTTGGCTTTTTCGTTCAACTCATCGGAACACTGGAGTAGTTAGAAAAATGACACCACTT